TGTTCATTGCACATGTATAGAAACAACTGATTTTGAGGTGTCAAGTTTGTATCCCGCAACTTTGCTAAATTCATTTATTAGTTCTAGTGGCTTTGGATTTGGGGGGGATTTTTTAATATATATATATGGATTTTTTTATATACAGGATCATGTCACCTGCAAATAAGGGCAGTTTTACTTCTTTTTTTCTAATTAGATGCTTTTTATATCACTTTCTTATTCAATTAGGTTGGCTACAACCTCCAATACAGTGTTGAATAGCAGTGGCAAAAGGAGACATCTAAGCGTTTTCTAATTTATCTTGTGGTTTCCTCTTTGACATATTGGTTGTTTATATCCTGCTGTTTAGTTTCCACATACTTGCAACTTTTCCAGTTTTCCTTCTGGTATTGATTTGTAGCTTCATTCCATTGTGACTGGAAAAGATACTTTGTGTAATTTCAGTCTTTTTAAAATTATTACAGCTTGTTACGTGGCCTAACATATGGTCTATCCTAGATAAATTTCCACGTGCACTTGAGAAGAATGTATATTCTATTACTGTTGGTTGGAGTGTCATATATATATACACTATATATGAAATCTGTCAGGTCAGATTGGTTTATAGTGTTGTTCAAGTCCTCAATTCCCTTTCTGATCTTCTGCCTATACATTCTACCCAGTACTGAAATTTCTTTTGGAAATTTACTTTGTATAACTTCTGTCTCTTCATTGATATTCTCATTTTGTTCATACATTGTTTCCCTGATTTCTCTTAAATATTTGTCTGCTTTCCCTTTGGCTCTTCGAGCATATTTAAGACTTGGTTTACGAATCTGTCTGGTAAGTCTAATGTCTGGCCTTCCTCAGGGACAGCTTCTATCAATTTATTTTGTTCCTTGACTGAGTCATACTTTCCTGTTTCTTTGTATGCCTTGTGATTTCTTCTTTTAAAATGGAGATTTTACTATTATAATATGATAACTCTGGACATCAGATTCTTCTTTTCCCCAGAGTTTCCTTTTTTTAACAACTGTTGAAAGCTGCGGTAGTCCATTTGTTTAGTGACTTTTTCAAACTATTATTGCAAAGACTGTATCCTTTGTTGACGTGGTCACTGAAGTGTTTGTCTATTCTTTCAACCGTGTTCACCTTGCATTTTGACAGAAACTTCCTTGAATTCCAGGAGATGTCCCAGTCTTTGCAAATTGACTCTGTGTCTGGGCGCTCCTTCAACTCGGGGAGGGTTGTACTGTGCCTAAGGATCAGCCTACGATGATCCTCAGCTCAGCCTTCTCTGAGCATGAATCTTGCCCTGGGCATGCACATGGCTTTCTAAATTCCCCAGTATACACTTTTCTTTTAAATGTACTAATTTTTTAGAGAAGTTCTCCTCAACTTTTGCCTACCAATCATTTTGAAGTTCCTTTTTCTTCATTCAGTGCTTGCTTGGTTTCTATAAATTTTAGACTATTGTATGTTTGTACTGTAGTCTTTTGCCCCAGGTATCTGATAGTTGTTAATTTAACCTGCAGTTTTTTTGAACTTTTACCATTTGAGTTCTGAGTTAGGTGAAACAGAGAGGAGCACCTTGCTTCAGGCCTCAGGTAGCTCCCAGATGAGTTAGAACAAACATACATAAGAATTTGCTAATAAGGTCTGCTCCGCTTCCTCCAGAATCATGGAAATGGTCCCATACTGGAAACACAAGCTGTCATCACTTTAAGATAGCTGCTACTTTAAGACCCCTGCCATACAGGGAGAGGATGGGGAAAGGACATGTAAAATTGTTACAATACCTACCAACCATTTTGAAGTTCCTTTTTCTTCATTCGTTGCTTGCTTGGTTTCTATAAATTTTTTACTTTTTTCTAGAGTTCTAACAAAATTGGTTTTGACAATTTATGCTCATTTATCAATGCTTCTTTGTGGGGATAAGAGCTTGGAGCTTCCTATTCTGCCATTTTGTGGTATCACTACCCAATATATTGTTGCTGTTGAAGAAGGCAGGTTTATGGAGGTCTTCATGCTGCCATTCTGGAAGTCCTACCTCCCTAAGAATATTTTATGAAGGCATTACAGTGTATGCAGGCTCTTAGATAAGGAAGCTTCTTGTGCAATTTGTTTTAAAAAAGTATGACCCAAAGACTTGGAGCCTTTCATCTGGTTGGGATTTTCTACAAGATCACTAAATATAGGAGATATTTTCAATAATTTACATTCAGTGATTTTTAATTTGTCACAATGCATTCCAAATCAGGCTTTCACCAAAATTCCTGTTGTTAAGGTTCACTCTGATTTCTACTGTATTAAATCAAATTATCAGTTCACAATTCTCATGTCACTTGACCTATCAGCAGCATTTGACATAATCAATCACTCTCTATTCTTTAATATACTCTCTCTACTTTGACTGCCAAGGTCTCTTCACTTTTCTTCTCCCTCACCAACTGCTCCTCCTTAGTCTCTCACTAGTTCCTCCCCTTATTTCCCCAACTCCCTCATATTGGCTTGTTGCAAGATGTCTTTTCTTTTCTCTACCCACAATCACTACCATTTGGTCTCAAATACTCTTATTTTTTAAAATATTAAACATAGACTGATAATTCCAAAGTTTATATCTTCAAACCAGACCACTCTCTAAAATGCCAGGCTCATTGATCCAAGTACATCATCACTTGGGTGTTTAATACTTATCTCAAACTTATCATTTCAAGATGAACTCTTGATCTTTCTATCAAACCCTAATCCAGCCCATTGCAGTTGATTACAACTTCATCTGCCAGTTGCCCAAGTCAAAACTCTGGAATCATCCTGGTCCCCACAATTTCTTTTATACTCTACATTTGATACATCAGCAAATCTTATTGGCTCTGCTTCTAAAATATTTCCAGAATCTGATTCCCCTCATACCTCCACAGTGATATCTCCTCTGATTCAAGCCACCATCAACAGTAGTCTGAACAATTGAAATCAACTCTTACCATTATCCCTCTACACAGCACCCAGAATAATCCCTTTATAGTGTAAGTCATATCACATTACTCCTCTGCTCAAAATCTCCCAATTTCCTTTAGAATACAAGATAGAGTTTTCACTATTGTCTACAAAACACTACAGTGTTGGATCCACCATCACCTCACTGACCTCATCTATTACTCCTCTCTGGATCCTTCCAATTCGATCACACTTCCTCCTTGCTGTTCCTAGAACAATCGAGACAAATCCCACCTTAGGAAATGTTCACAGTCTCTTAACTCTTTCTGAGTATTCTTCTACCAGATATCCCTTATGTCCTTCAAGTTTTGGTTAGTATTTTACCTTCTCAATGAGGCCCATCATGACCATTCTTTTTAAAATTGCAACCTGGCCTCCCTCTACTTGCAGTATCCCCAATCTCTATACTCTTTGTGTAGTTTTTTGTTTTGTTCCACAATTCTTATCACTTTCTAAAGTGACACATATAATTTATTTATTATAATGTATTGATTATATTATATTTTCTATTCATTGCCTTTCTCTCTGCCACTAGAATATCAGTTCCATGAGGAGAAGAACCTTTGATTTGTTCATGGGTATTTCTCAAGCACATAGAACATTACTTGTATGTATAGTGGGCACTCAACAGTATTTGATAAAGAATGAATAAATTTTTCTATAACTTTGATGGAACATTTTGGAAAAAAATGCTACTATGTTTTCAATTCCACAAGCTGTAAATTGCAAGAAATCACACAGGGTTTGTCAGAATTAGCACTTCAGTGGCATCAGTATGTGCAAGTCTTTGGAAACTCAGGACAAATCATATTTGCAGTGTTGATCAGAGGCTAGAACTGATATGGAGCTAAAATGAGTTATCCTAGAGATGCACAGATGGGAATGTGAGTACAAACTCCAATTTCATGCCTGAAATCAGAAGGTTAATTAATGAGGTAAAGACACTTGACTGTTGGACCCAAGACACTTGTCCAAACAAAGGCAGGTCAGGTCCTAGGTCCAAGCAGAAAACAATAGAACAGCAGAGATTAAAGGATAATCTAATGCAAGCACTTAGAAATTGGTCATAGAATGACATGCATAGAGGGGCATTAAGTCAGTTGAAGGGTTGGCAAGTAAGCAGGGAGTAAGCAGTCTTGAAAAATAAGAGCAGGGGGTAGGAACTCCAGTGACAGAGACTTGAGGTTCAGAAAAGGAATTCAGTCAAAGAACCAGAGAACTATTCATAGAAAGGACATGAACTGGAAGATGGCTACCATGATCAGATCATTCTTGACCGTGAACCAGCGAAAATCTATCTTTGTGTTTTCTACAGAGTCTCCTAGGCTAAGGAACGATTGTTTTCACTTTGAGAGGCAGGATTGAACCATACAAGTGGTAATTGAAAAAGCCCAACTGAGAGGTTAAAAATCTGCAAAATACAAAGAATATAGAAAAGCACAAGGCCCAGGTGGTTTCAGGTGATATATCAACCAAATCTTCAAGGATCAACTAATCCCACGGCTACTTAAATTATTGTAGAGTATAAAAACAAGGAAAAACTTCCAAATTATTTTTCTAAAAGTAAAAATAACTTTAATACCTAACTTGTCACATAGCACAAAAAAGAAAGCTACTAATGAATCTCACTTAAGAATAAAATTAAGAATCAATATAAAATCTTAGCAAACAGCATTCAACAGTATATTACAAAAAAAAATACATAATGACCTATATTGGTTTCCTATAGCTCTTCTAACAAATTACCACAGTTTAGTGGCTTAAAACAAGGCAAATTTATTATCTTACACTTCTGGATGTCATAAGTCTGAAATGGGTACCACTGGGCTAAAACCAATATGTCAGCAGGGCTGCATTCCTTCTGGAGGCTCTAGGGGACAATCCGTTTCCTTGTTTTTCCCAGCTTCTGGACATTGTCTGTATTCGTTAGCTCAGGGTCCCTCCTTCCATCTTCAAAGCCAGCAGCTTAGCATCTTCTCTTCCATCTGACCTCTACTTCCATACTTACATCTTTTCTCTCTGACTAATCTTTCAACCTCCCTCTTATAAAGATCCTGTCATACTTTGGGCTCACCTGGACGGTCCAGGATAATCTCCCCATGGCAAGATCTTTAACTTAATCATGTCTGCAAAGTCCTTTTGCCATGTAAGGTAACATACATACAGGTTAAGGGAATATGAGTGTGAACATCTTTGGAGGATATGATTTACCCTATTACATGACCCAGGGGATATGTATTTCAAGATTGCAAGGATAACTCAATATTAGAAAAGCCATTAATATTATTTACCATATTAATAGATGTAGGAAAAATATCATATCCTATGGTAATCTCCATAGATGTGAAAAAGACCTTCAGCAGAATTGAACATCTATTCCTTTCAAATCCACTCAACAAAATGGGATACCTGCTTAACATGACAAAACAAATATACTTCAGACCAAGAACCAGTTTCTTACTTAATGGAGATACACTTTTCCCATTACTATCAAGAATATGTCAAGGACACCCACTATATCCTCTATTACTTATTTTTTAGAGGCATTAGCCAATGCAATCAGAAAAGAAGAAACAATTAAAGGCATAAAAGTTGGGAAAAAATAAGCAAAACCATCTCTATTTTCAGATGGTAGGAGAGTATAGCTGAAAATTTCAAGAGTATCAATGTTAAAAATGACACAAATATTAAAAGAATTTAGTTAGATACAAAAGTATAAAATTAACATAAAATATAAACATACAAATTATTAAAAATATTGGCTTTCATATATATAAACTAAAACTTCCTGAAACATATAATGGATTGAAAAAGTCCCATTCACAACAACAAAAAAAGATAAAATATTTAAGAATAAACTTAACAAGAAATTTGCAAAATCTATAGGAAGGAAATTTTAAAACACTCTTGAAAGACAAGGAATAGACCTGATCAAATGCAAGAATATCCCTGTTCTTGGATAGGATGCATCAGCCTCATAAAGATGTCAAATAACCCTAAATTAACATTTAACTTTAACAAAATCTCAATAAAAATACCAACAAAGTTTTTCTGGAGCTAGTCAAGTTGATCCCCAACTTCATATAAAATAAACGTGTAAGAATATCTAGGAAATCCTCATAAAAGAAAGGAAATGAAGAGCAAATAATAAAATATATAATCCCTATAATTAAAAGCGTGCTGCTGTCACGTAAATAGATGAACTAGCCAATGTAATAGAATAGAAAACGCAGATATAGACATAAGGAAATTTAATACATGCTGAAAAGTGGACTCTCAAATCACTAGCGAAAGAGGGGTCTTTTTAATAAGTGGTATTGATGCATTTGTATTGTCTTTTGGCAAAAGATAACATCAGGTCCACACCTCACACCAGAATAAATTTCAAACAGTCATAATAAAAATGAAGCCACATAAATATTAGAAGAAAACATGGGCAAATTCTTTTATAAGTTGAGTATAGGGAAAATTTTCTACCTTTGACCCAAAATAAAGATATAATTTTAAAAGCAGAAGATTTATAAGTTTGACTACATATATTTATAAAGAAATGACTGATTCCATATCTGGGTAGGGAAAGGACATAGTGGGCCAGAATATTTCATTGTGACAGAAAGCTAAGAAGTGCTCAAAGACTAATGGTGACATGTAAAAATGACACAGGATCTAATCAATATGCAACATGATTGGCCAAATTTTGCATCAAAAAGATTTGAGCATCAAAAAGAAAAATGACAACAGTGGATTATCACAAATTAAATTTTTTTAAAAAATCCATAAGTTTAGCCAACACTTTCTTTGACCTATGTACAATGGTAATATAAGATGTTAACAATAGGGCAATTGGTTGAAGCACGTGGGAACTTTCCATATTATCTTTGCAACTTTCCTCTAAATCTAAAATTATTCCAAAATAAAATGACTATTTAAAAAGAGAGAGAGGGACAGAATTCATAGGTTCATAATGATAATGACAAAGGGAGGGGAGATTCTTTTTTTAATTATTTTCCAGAAGAATGCCAACTAAGAAGAACAGAAGGAGACCAAAAAAAAATGATAACAAAATATAATGCATTTAAATTACTGTTATTAAATAAGAATAATAACAAACACCATTAAATGATGTCTTAGAACACCTTAGAGAATTTTAGGATGGTTTACATATTAAATTATATTATAGAATCATTGGTAAATCGCGTGAATTTGAAATAATTGGTGCCATGAGAATGTCCTTGTTCTTAAAAGACACATGCTAAACCATTTGGGGTGAAAACATCATGATGTCTGTGGTTTATTTCAAAGTTCCAGAAAAAAAAGTATGTGTGTATAGACATACTGAAATATGGCAAATGTTAACAACTGGTAAATCTAAGTGAAGGGTATAGGGGTGTTCCTTACTGATATTTTAACATTTTTCAAGCTTTAAAATTTTTCAAAATATTAAGTTGAGGGGGAAAAATCTGCTAGATAAAAAATGAAGGGGTGGAATTGAGGAAGAAAGTAGTTGTTGGTTCTAAAAAATATCAGATACTGTGCTAGTCATTTTCACAATTATCATCTCGTAAAAATCGTGGCAAACTTTTAAGTAGATATCGTTATTCTCATTTTTTTATAAATAAAAATGTGGTGGCTCAGAGAAACCATATAACTTGCCTAAAATCATAGATTTTGTACAGGTGGAGCCTGGATTCAAACCCACTTCTTTCAAGACTCCTGATCTCTTCTCCCTCCATTCTGTAATGCTGGGTCAAGGCCCTTGTCTGGGTAGTTCCAGCAATCAGCACCATGGCTAGCAGCCCAGGATTGCCTGGTACTCTCAAGTTCCCAAGAACCACTTTTTCCACTTGGAATTCGACCACTCTGGAATAGCTATAATTTGGTCACACTACTACTGTAAAAAGAGAAGCTGCAATATTACCAAATTCATGAAGTGAATCTAAGTAAAAATACTACCTTTAAGTAATTGAAGATATTTAATCCTTGCTATCTTAAGCTAAAGGTACTCCACATGCTTCAAATATTTCTCATACGACATGGTTTAAGGGCTTCTAATCATTTCTTTAAATGTTTTTATTGATATACGACTCACATACCATCAAACTCATCCCTTTAAAGTGTACAATTCAATAGCTTTTAGTTTATTCACAGACTTGTGTGATCATCACCACAATTTTAGAACATTTTTATCCCCCAAAAAAGTCACTTCCCATTTCCTCTCAAACACCCCCATCCTCTGCAACCACTAATCTACTTTCTGTCTCTAGGAATAGTTTCTCTACTCTGGATATTTCATACAAACGGAATCATTCAATATGTGGTCCTTTGTAACTAAATTCTTTCAGTTAGCATAAAGTCTCAAGGTCCATCCGTGTTGTAGTATGTATTAGTATTTCATTTCTTTTTATTGCTAAATAATAATATTCAATATTATAATAATAGAAATATTCCTTGGCTTGGTATAGCACATTTTGTTTGTCCATTCATCAGTTGGTGAACATTTGGATTGTTTTCACTTGGGGCTATTATAAATAATGCTGCTATATGTGTTCGTGTACAAGTTTTTGTGGGGACATATGTTTTTTACTCTCTTGAGTATATACTTAGGAGTGGAGTTGCTCTAATATATGATAACTCTAATATTTAACTCTAATGATAACTCTAATATTTAACTTTTGAGTAATTGTCAAGCTCTTTTCCACTTTAGCTGTACCATTTTGCATTCCCACCAGCAATATGTAAAAGCTCTCTACGCCTCACCAGCACTTGTTGATTGTAGTCATCTTGTGGCTGTTCAATTCTAGCCATCCTAGTCAGTGTGAAGTGGTATCTCATTATGGTTTTGATTAGCATTTCCCTAATGACTAATGATGTTGAGCATCTTTTCATATGCTGATTGGCGATTTGTATATCTTCTTTGGAAAAATGTCTATTCAAATCTTTTCCCATTTTTAATTGGGTTGTTTAAGTTTTTATCGTTCAGTTAAACTTTTTCTTTACTCTACTGCTTTAAGTCCACTTTGATTTGTCTAAATCCCGCTGCTCACTATGCACGTGATTATGGGAAAGTTACAAAAATTCTCTGCACCTTTGTTTCTCCACTCATCAAAATGAGATAACATTATCAACATCACAGAGTTTGGGTGAGTTAAGCGCATACAAAGCATTTATCACAGTGACTGAACCATTATAGGTGTTCAGGAAATGAGACTGAATCTGAAAAGACTCATTGATGTAGCAAGTAATCACAGTGCAATTAGAACTCTGTATTTGAGGATTTGAATAGCATTTACAGAAATAAAAGATAATAGTAATTGTGCTTAAAGTCCTGTCAAAAAGAGTTATGAAATATTTTGAACCAGCATAGTATTAAATATTCCCAGAAGACACATCAAGTTGTCGTGTAATTACATAACTAAAATAAAAAGTACAATACTGTGACCAAATAGAAAGGTTTACAAAAGGAAAGAGATTACAAGACATGTTTAAATAGCACTAAGAATAATTATTCAATATGCTTAATTGCACGGTTTTTATATGTTTCATATGCATTTTATATGATTTTGTGATCAACAATAGTGCCTGGAAAAACATCAAACATTTTACTTCTTCAGAATTAGACTATTTTCTTCAGTACAAAATAAAATATCTTAGGAGATCTTGTGTACTTCCTCGTGAAGCAAGAAAGGATTTTGGAACCAAAACCTCCACCTGTGGTTCAAGAGATTAAACCAATCCTCCAAATATATATCAGTTACAGATTTTTTAACAATGAACAAGTGTGTGCCAAATGGATGCTACTGTATTTGTTATTCACAGAATATCAATAAGTTGATCGATTGCTGATAGCTCCTATTCTATTCTTCCATTCAACGGCAATGTTGCTAAATGAGGCAGATTAAGGTTGCCTAATTGATTGGTATTTCAAGAAACAGTCCACGGAGAAGGTAAAACTATATATGCCTTTTTCAAGTTCTACTGGACCAGGTCATATCATTTAGTGAATGAACTTATATCTAGGATATAAAAGGACCAAAGTACAGTCAAGGTAGGAAGACCCCCAAAAAGAGCTGATGGCAGCATTTGCTAAAGCATTATTGGACTTCAATAAAAAATATAAGGACCATTTTATTACCAGGTCATTATATTTTAACCCTCTTAGTTTTACACATAAAATTTAAAAGAAGCATTTTACAAGCTATAACATTGTCCAAATATAAGGCAGGAAATAAAAACTGATTTAAATTCAGATCATAGCCATGGCATAATTTTCCTTTGCTCTCTTCCCCACAAAAGAGAACCAGAGGGTACATTTTCAACACAGGCCTTGACCCTCTTCCTCCTGAAGAACCTCACAAGGACAAGATTCTAACACAGCACAGATCAAATCAGGTCTCTCCACCATTAACTGCAAACAGTAAGATAAGATGTGGCTAATTAGCCTCTAGACTAGATGCAAATTATGTTCTTCCTCTTCTGTATCAACGTTAGAAAGAGATAATACTGTTACTCATTTAGCCTTTTGCTATCTCTATCGTTGAAAGGAATAAAACATAATTATCATCATTTTCCAGGTTAAAAAATGAAGCACAAAAAAATTAAATGCCTGACCTTGTGCCGTAAAGTGAATTGATGTGGCAAATCTCTCAGATATTCTGACACTCAAGTCAGGATTCTTTTCGATACATCATGCTCCGTTTTTCTAAAATGTATTGTCTGGAGCTAAGTTATTTTACACACTTGGTTAGGAAAAGGAGAATTAAAGCTAAGATTTTGTTCTTTTCACTCTGCCTTCTCTTGACTTGGATACATTAGAAATATCAGTGGATTAGAAATAAGACTGTCTTCAAGCTGCTCGGAGTTTTAGCTGTCTCTCTAACTAGCTGGGGAAGATTAACCACATCACTTGAAAGTTAGTCCTGCACTCACATTTTTCATCTATTACATAATGATAACTGTGGTTTCCTTAGCCTACCCACATGTTGGTTTGAGGAAACAGTTGATAATGTATTCGAATATTCTTTGAAAAGTATAAAGTATCATATAAGCATAAAGTCTTGTGTATTAATAGGACCACTTGCATCAATGTAACTGTTATTAATAATCACGCCGTTTTCTGAATGCCCATAGAACTTATCTATACTTCTTTTAAGATGCTTATCATTTTTCATCTTATATATTAAAACAATCAGTGTTTGTTATGCAGAATATATTCTTGGATGACAAGAATCATGAGACTTTTAGACCCTTCTCTCTCTGACATGTACCTATTGCAATTAATGATAATTTTGCCAAAGGATCAGTTTGTAACCTAGACTGTCCTTGCCATTGATGCAGACCGCGACATTCCCAGCATGACTGCTTCAGATGAGTCAAGGACACACCAACAGTGACCCAGAAGGTCGGCAAGGGCATCCTGCAGGACACTTTTTCATAGGCATTGATAGAGCCTAACTCTTCCGTTCCCCTCAGTGTGGAAATGGTTGTTTCCTCCTCCTATCCCCTTAATAATCAGAGCGTGAGCTAATGCCCATAGCATGGGAAAAGAAAAGAATTGCTGGTGAATACTTCCATTTCTAATAGTTTTTAAAGAGGCAGCTTGCTTGTTTACAGCCATTCGTGACTGTAGATAAGTAAGAACGTGCTGGAATATTCAAGGTATTTTACATCAGAAACTCCACGTTAGCGCACACTGTTGTCTAATGACGTGCATCGCTGTGTTCTCGAGTTTATTAAAAATGAATAACATTAGCAATGAGAAAGTAAAGAGAACCTTTAATGGTCTGTTAATTGTCCTTCTTTGATGTGGCCATTACTCTGTGTGTGTGTGTGTATACAAGTGTATTTGTGTGCGTGAACATTGGCTTCTTTGTACGTACACAACACAGTTCCCACCAGGAGGGTAGAGCTCTGAGTTGTGCTTCCAGGGACAAAGAATTTATGCTAATATATGCCTTCTACTAAACGCTTTTATAATTAAGGGACATGCATTTTCCAGACAGCTGACCTAGGTCAGGTTGCAACTTGTGAGCGCTGAAAAGCTTAAAACTAATTGACCCTAGGGTCAAAGTCCTTGACTTCGGCTAAGAATGCCGAAACTCCTATGAGCAATGCTATTCAGAAAGGCAGCCGTGGATCACTCTATGCAACCTTTGTCTTACTTTCTATCTTCCATTTAACTCAGTTGCACACATTTTTAAAAGTTTAATCATCTTCCGCTTAGAAAAGGGCCCTTTTAACACATGCAATCATTCCTTTCAAGTATTACCTTTGGCCTTCAGAAGGAGAGCATTCCAATTTCATGGTCTACACAGGACACAAGTTTACACTTGAAAATAATGTCAGACCCATCAATAGTGGTACATGGAGACAGACAGATGACCTATCACTTTACTGGCTGAAAAAAAAAAAAGGCACTTGAGATGTCCTCCAGTTTTAGGAAATTTTGGAACTGGATTTTGCAGATTAATATATTTTAAATAATTGTTATCTTTGGTCTGACAGATGCAGCCATTAGTGCGTGGACTTATTAAGAAGAAATGCTGTTGATAGGAATAATTAAAATAGTAATCAGTTCTGTTGATCTGGTCACTACTCCTTTTCCTTCCTAAAGCTTTACTAAAACACATCGTTTTTGCTTTCACAGGACTAACATTATGGATGGAACAAAGATCTTGAAGTTGAATTAGTATCCATATGTATGTACTGACTGCAGACATTATCTCTTCTTAAGGACCAACGTGAAGTTTTAACAGTAAAATAGACATGAGGTGTGTTGAAATTAAAGTTTGTGCTTTTAAACTGCAATTTAAGATTTTTGACAGGTCAAGCCTTTCAAAATGATCAAATGTAGTACTTTATTCCTAAAAATGCCTCTTGAAGAGTGACTCTCCTTACTCTGAAGGTGAAGAGGGTCCCCAGTGAGACCCAGAGGGCTTTTCCCCGCATCCATGAACTTCACCACAGGTGCAGTGCCTCATGATTTAAAGATGCGCTGACAATGAGATATCACCTCACACTTGTTAGAATGGTTGTTTTGAAAAAGATAAGAAATAGCAAATGTTGGTGAGGATGTGGAGAAAAGGGAACACTTGTGCACTGTTGGTGGGAATGTAAGTTGGTGCAGCCACTATAGAAAACAGTATGGAGGTTCCCCAAAACACTAAAAATAAAACTATCATAGGATCCAGCAA